CTTTATCTCTTCATTTGATGTTCTAGGGTTTCAGGATTGTTGATTCTCTGTTTGGCTTAGTTTTTCGGATCTTTGTTGTGGAGGGACGGCGTGGTGTTTCTGCCTAGAGCGCCATCTTGCCGGAAGTCTATATAGTGAAGTTTTGACGTTGGAAATATGTATAAAGCTATAATTGCAAATATGCTTTTTTTGCTATGTCACCGAGAGCCTTTTAGAAGCAGCTCAATGTACTCTCAATGGACTGAAGAGCAGAGATAATGTTTTGAACTTCTCTTATTAGGAAAATTGTTGAATCAAATACATAATAATTATCAAATGGGCCATTATTTTATAGGTATAGGACTAGTCAATCTTTCATGAATTCATAATTGAAATACATAATCCTAAAATTAGAAAGTCAGGATGATTTTAGAGATCATTCAGCTGACATGATGTTGGAAGAAATCCCCTCTACAAAAATGACCTTGCTTGAACATCTCTGTTTATAAAACATTCACTACTTTATAAGGAAGTGTGTTTAATTTTTAGGACTTTTTTTCCTTATATTTAGCCAAAGTCTCCTCCCTGTTCCCCTCATCCATTGATTTTCGTTCAAACCTCTAAATTACAAAGAATAAATTAACCACCTTCCACAAGATAGCCATTCAACTATGTAGAGAGAGAGAGAGAACTGTCATAGTTCATTCTAAGTGGTACCTTTAGAGGAAAAATGGAAGAATTGGTAATTATTCTTCAGGTGATGTGGCTTCTTTGCCCTAGTTACCCTTGTGTGGTTTCACTCTGGCTAACATCCTCTTAAATGTGGTTCCCATAATGACACACTGTACTTTCAATGTGTTCTGGTCATTGCAGCTGAAAGTGGCATCAGCTGTTTGAATTGTCTGCCAATTGAAAAACTCATAGTCTTTTTCACGTTAACTATTATTAAGCCAGTTTTCTTTCACTTATTAAATTAAAGAATTAATTTTAAGCATGGATTTAGATGTTTTTCCTATTGAATTTCAAAATTTCAATCAATTTCCTAATTCTACTGAGATATTTTTGAATCTCAAGTCTGTAATTGAACATACAAGTGACTTATGTGTTATTTACAAATTTGATAAATATGTTTAGTATACAATCATTCCAGATTACTGGAAAAAATATTGAGCAAGACCCTGAGCCCTATGCCTACCATCCAGTAACAAAAACCAAACCAAACTTGTTGCCGTTGAGTCAATTCCAACTCACAGGACCCTATAGCACAGAGAAGAACTGCCCATAGCGTTTCCAAGGAGTGGCTGGTGGATTCAAACTGCCAACCTTTTGGTTAGCAGCCGAGCTCTTAACCACTGCACCACCAGGGCTTCACCTCCCTTTATATTGACATTGTTTGACTTGGAGTCATATAGGTTTAAAATCTTAGCTCTGTCCTTTACTAACTTTGTGGCTTCGAGTATTTAACAAATCCAAGTCTTAGTTTCCACTTCTATAAAAGGCTAATAATAATCATACTTACTTTATTGGTTTGGCATGGAGCTACAATGAGAAAATAACCATAAAACCCTTAGCCTAATGACGTAAAAGAAAAGTGTTAGTTCTTCATATTGAGATAATAAATTGATTCAAATTTTAGCAGTCATAATATAGAAAAAAAGATGTCATATATTGTTTAGAGTAGACAACTTAAGATATGCACTTTGTTATTTATTTTACTATTTATTTTTAATCAACAGGAAAAACTCTTGTTAGTTTAACTGTGGATGGGAAATTTATATATTGGATTGTCACAGCAAAGGACAGCACACAGATTTATCAAGCGAAGAAAAGAAATGGGGCCATCCCCTTCCAGGTGAAGGCTCCAAGGAGTAAGCATATCTTGACTTACAGTCCAGTTATGCAGCCTTTTCCAGGTAATAAAGTCACGTTCATGATCAGCTTGTACCTTCCAGCTGAGGGTCAGAAAAATCTTGTAATATGTCCTTCTCCAGATTGTTTCTCTACCCGCTTTGTGGTGTTCCCAGTGTTGCTCCAAACTCTGAATCAGTCCTTTGTGCACACTATGATCGCAGTCTGCCCTAGATCACAAACCACCTCAGGTTAACCTTGTGCGTGTACACGGCCTCCGCTGTGGGGGAAACCCCACGTTCTGTTATTATCTCTCCTGATTCTCTTTCTCTTCTCAGTCCTATAATTTCTCTTCTGTCTGTTTCGCCTCTGATATATTTTAGGCCTCCCAGTGGTACCAAAAAGCATTGCATAAAGCTTCTGGTCTTTTTCAAGGTAAGGTGCCATATTTATTGTAGTATTCGATATTTCTTAACCATTTTAAGTGTGTAAATTTGCACCATTATTTTTATTCGGGTCCTATCTTATTTTTTAATGTGTCACCAATGAAGTTTTTGATTGTTGTGTCTCTAACTCATGTTCTTCATAAGCCCTGTGGAATTTATTGTGTGATTTTGCATAATGCAGTGATTTTTAGGAATGCATGTATGGTGTTATAGCAGAACTGTCTGGATCTGTGGTACTGTGGGTCATAATAAAAAAAAAGTTTGAAATCTAAAAAACAAAAATACAAAAAGTATTACATAGCCATGTTGGTGACATTCAAACCTCAAATGGTTTCTGAGTTCTTTCTCAAGCTTTCTCTGCTATTAAGCTGCCAATGTCATTTTAAATCAAGTATAACTCTCCCTGGAGATGGACAGAAATGAATGAAACAAACTCCCTTTGCTTAAGTGTATTCAGTTATAAAACATTTAAGTCAAAAACAAGTGGAAGAATTTATAAATAAGCTTAGTGCATGTTCTTGTAAAATAATTCATTTTCTACTTTGAGAAATTATTTAGAAAATTTAAAAGATCATGCAATGCCTGTTTGAAGTTGAACACACACACACAGACACACACACACACACACACACACACCCCTCTAGAAATGAAAACTCTAAAGGTAGCATGAATTTTTATAACAAGAACTAATTTAAAAATATAATCAATATAACATTCACATTCTCTTCTTCAAATAAAGGGTCAACTTTCTTACTTTCTAGGCCCACCATTAAGGGCACTTTGAGCTCCATCTGCTGGAAATTTTGAGCAATTACCAGTTACTTTCCTCCTTTTTTCTGAGGCATTCAACATCTTCAAAATATATGGAAAAAAACTTGCCTTCCTGTTCTGAATAATGTTTTCACCACCTAAATATATCATTCCATACCATATCAGTTATATAATAATAAAGGAATGACAAAAGCACCAATGACCTTTGAAGCAGATTATTGCTCTGGCTGCTACACCATTCCCAGGGTAGACCAGACACCAGCACAAACTAAATAATATTGGATAAACACTGGTTGAAATGAAGAATGACCCACTTTATAACTTTAGTAAAATTATCCTTCTCCAACCCTCATACTTCCAAGTGTCGTCGACATTAGGTTAACAATCTCCTTGGGTACTCGCTATTAGAAGAAATTTGTCTATGTAGTTCTATTTTTCAAATACCCTTTTCTGCATTTTGAAACTCATATGTGGAATTTCCAACTCAGGTCTGTATTATTTCCCATAATTCTGCAATAGTCTTACTAACGAGAGTAATAATAAAAAGAAAGAAAAAACCCAAACCCGCTGCCGTCGAGTCGATTCTGACTCATAGTCATAGCTAACATTTATTAAAGATGTTCACTATGTCTCAGGGATAGTGCTTTATTTCTGTATATAGATATATAAATTTATGTAATTTTCACAGTTCCATGAGATAGATAATTACTCCTTGTTTTCAAGAGATTTGAAGCATAGAGAGCTGGATATCTTTTCTTTTTTTAAATTTTATTGTGCCTCAAATGAAAGTTCACAGTTCAAGTCAGTTTCTCATACAAAATTTTGTACACACACTGCTATGTGACCCTAGTTGCATTCCCCATACTGTGACAGCTCACTCTTCGTTTCCACCCCGGATTTCAGGTGTCCATTCAACCAGCTCTTGTCCCTTTCTGCCTTCTCATCTCACCTCTGGACAGGAGCTGCCCATTTAGACTCATGTATCTAATTGAGATAAGAAGCACACTCTTCACGAGTATCATTTTTATGTCTTATAGTCCATTCTAATCTTTATCTGAAGAGTTGGCTTCGAGAATGGTTTTAGTTTTGTGCTAATAGAGTCCGGGGGCCGTGTCTTCCAGGGTCCCTCCAGTCTCAGTCAAACCATTAAGTCTAGTCTTTTCACTAGAATTTGAGTTCTGCACCCCACTTTTCTCCTGCTCTGTCAGGGACTCTGCTGTGTTCCCTGTGAGGGCAGTCATTGGTAGCAGCCAGGCACCATCTGGTTCTTCTGGTCTCAGGCTGATGGAGTCTCTGGTTTATGTGGCCCTTTCTGTCTCTTGGGCTAGTATTTTCCTTGTGTCTTAGGTGTACTTCATTCTCCTTTGCTCCAGGTGGGTTGGGACTAATTGATGCATCTTAGATGACCGCTCGCTAGCTTTTAAGACTCCAGACACCACTCACCAAAGTGGGATGCAGAACATTTTCTTAACAAACTTTGTTATGCCAGTTGACCTAGATGTTCTCTGAAACCATGGTCCCTAGGCCCCTACCCCTGCTACTCCGTCCCTCGAAGTGTTTCATTGTATTTGGGAAACTTCTTAGCTTTTGATTTAGTCCAGTTGTGCTGACTTCCCCTGTAGTGTGTGTTGTTCTTCCCCTCACCTAAGATAATTCTTGTCTACTATCTAGTTAGTGAATACCCCTCTGTCTCCCTCCCCACCCTAGTAACCATCAAAAAATGTTTTCTTCTGTGTTTAAACCTTTTCTTGAGTTCTTATAAGAGTAGTCTTACACAATATTTGTCCTTTTGTGATCGACTAATTTCACTCAGCATTATGCCTTACAGATTCACCCATGTTATGAGATGTTTCATGGATTCTTCGTTATTCTTTATCGTTGCATAGTATTCCATTGAGTGAATATACCATAATTTGTTTATCCGTTTGTCCGTTGATGGACACCTAGGTTGTTTCCATCTTTTTGCTATCGTGAACAGTACTGCAATGAACATGGGTGTGCATATATCTATTTGTATAATGGCTTATTTTGCTAGGCTATATTACAAGGAGTGGGATTGCTGGATCCTATTGTACTTCTATTTTTAGCTTGTTAAGAAAGCACCAAATCGATTTCCAAAGTGGTTGTACCATTTTACATTCCCACCGACAGTGTATAAGTGTTCCAGTCTTTCCATAACCTCTCCAACGTTTATTATTTTGTGGTTTTTGGATTAATGCTAGCCTTGTTGGGGTGAGATGGTATCTCATTGTAGTTTTGATTTGCATTTCTCTAATGGCTAATGATCGTGAGCATCTCCTCATATATCTGTTAGCTGCCTGAATGTCTTCTTTGGTGAAGTGCCTGTTCATATCCTTTGCCCATTTTTTAATTGGGGTTTTTGTCTTTTTGTTGTTGAGGTTTTGTAGTATATTGTAGATTTTAGAGAGTAGACCCTGATTGGATTTGTTGTAGCCAAAATTTTTTTCCTAGTCTGTAGGTTGTCTTTTTACTCTTTTGGTGAAGTCTTAGATGAGCCTAAGTGTTTGATTTTTAGGGGCTCTCAGTTATCTAGTTTCTTTTCTGGTGTTCGTGCATTGTTAGTAATGTTTTGTATTCTGTTTACGCCATGTACGGCTCCTAGCGTTGTCCCTATTTTTTCTTCCCTGATCTTTATCATTTTAGAGTTTATATTTAGGTCTTTGGTCCGTTTTGAGTTAGTTTTTGTGCATGCTATGAGGTGTGGGACTTGTTTCATTTTTTTGAAGATGGATATCCAGTTATGACAACACCATTTGTTAAAGAGACTGTCTTTTCCCCCAATTAATGGACTTTGGGCCTTTGTCAAATATCAGCTGCTCATAGGTGGATGAATTTACATCTGTATTCTTAATTCTATTTCATTGGTCTATTTATCTGTTGTTGTACCAGTACCAGGCTGTTTTTGTTTTCCATTCTAACCCTGATTTTTTTTTTAATTGTACTTTAGATGAAGCTTTACACAGCAAATTAGTTTCTCATTAAACAATTAATACACATATTGTTTTGTGACATTGGTTGCCAATCCCACAACATGTCAACACTCTCCCCTTCTCGACCTTGGGTTTCCCGTTACCAGCTTTCCTGTCCCCTCCTACCTTCTCATCTTTGCCCCTGGGCTGGTGTGCCCATTTAGCCTTGTTTAGTTTTATGGGCCTGTCTAATCTTTGGCTGAAGGGTGAACCTCAGAAGTGACTTCAGGATTGAGTTAAAAGGTATCCAGGGGCCATACTCTAGGAGTTTCTCCAGTCTCTGTCAGACCAGTAAGTCTGGTCTTTTGTGTTAGAAATTTGTTCTATATTTTTCTTCAGCTCTGTCCAAGACCCTCTATTGTGATCCCTGTCAGAGTAATTAGTGGTGGTAGCCAGGTACCATCTAGTTGTGCTGGACCCAGTCTGGTGGAAGCTGTGGCAGTTGTGGTCCATTAGTCCTTTGGACTAATCTTTCCTTTGTGTCTTCTGCCTTGCTCCAGATGGGGTGGAACCAGCGGAGTATCTTAGATGGCTGCTCACAAGCTTTTTTTAAAATTTTTTTTTATTGTACTTTAGATGAAGGTTTACAGAACAAACAGTTTCTCATTAAATAGTCAGTACACATATTGTTTTATGAT